TGCCGACCGTCGAGACATTAATCAGCGTGCGTCGTTTACGTGCAGTGCAGTGTCGAGGATCCGCTGAACATTTAGAATTAGACAACAGGAGAGAAGGTTGGCTGCATTGTCGAACGAGATACCGACCGAGGGTCGCCTGAAGGTTGGTTTCGTCGCCGACCAAAATCAGAAAGCGGCGTGCAGGCCTATTTTTCTGAAGGGGCGTCGCCATCAGGTAATTTTCTACTAACTGATCTGTTTTAGGTGCAAGTTAAATGAATATTAGTATGGGTGACTCACCGGCGCTGCAAATTGTGCCTGGAATGACGTTTGGGATAACGTTCTGGCACTGTTGCTTGGAATAGCAACCTGGACCTAGCTTGTGATAGCCAACTTGATGCCTAGGACTAACAAACACGTTTGGGATAACGCTGAAACATTGGACTCGGTTGCTCGGGATAGCAGCGTAGACCTGGCTTGGGATAGTCAGCTCCACACCAAGGACGAACGAAGACGTTTGGGATAACGCTGAAGCATTAGACTCGGTTGCTTGGGATAGCAACGTGGACCTGGCTTGGGATAGTCCACACCAAGGACGAATGAAGATGTTTGGAAGAATGACTTAATACTGAACTTCGTTGCACAATTAACAACACTGAAAGCGTTTGGGACAACGCAGCAACAAGGTATAGTCAACAATCTTTTCTCAATTGCTTGTGATAGCAAATTCCTTTTGGTTTGGAATGGCCAGCGAACAGATCAATAATATGCACGTGACAGGTTACAAAACAGCTGAAGTACTATTTTTCATTACCAACATATAGACATTAGGAGCATCTGTGGTAGACTAGCGTTACAGTTTACTTCTGTTAGCAAATTCCATATGGTTTGGAATAGCCATCGAACAGATTAATAATATGCACATGACAAGTTACGAGACAGCTGAAGTACCATTTTTCATTAACAACATATAGAAATTAGGTACATCTATGGTAGACTAGCGTTACATTTTGCTTGTGATAGCAAATGCCACATGGCTGTTGATAACTATGGAGCAGGACTGTACGTCTAAAAATCTCCGGTTAGGAAACCACCAAAGTTCTAATGTTTAGTAATAACGGAACTTAAATATCATTATGCCCGATTAACATTGCATTTTGCATAGCTGGTACTCGAACAGCAGGGCGCTCTGGATTGTGTTGTCTTAAAAGCCATCTGGTCTGTTTCAATAGATTACGCATCACCACGATGATGCGACCTTAGTATAATTAATGTTCGAGCATTGTTCCAAGACTGACATTTCGACGGCAGATCTTGTTGATGACGATAGATGAATAGATTCTGTTCTATTCTAGCCACCTAAGGTGAACCCTGAGGTAACGGAAGCCATAATAGAAATTGTCGCACGCAGGGATGCTTGCTCGGACTGTGTACAGCAACATGTGAGCTGTTCATTACCTGCAAGTGGCAATACTCTATCATCTAGATTCAAAGAAAGGAGAGGAGTACATGCTGGCAGATATTCACATTAAATCAAAGAACTCAGTAGTACTATGACAGAGACTTCCAGTGATATCTTGTTCTTCGGCGTACGTCTGACCAAGTAAGTCAATTCTAAATAGATATCAGATAAACAGAGCAGCAACTGAAGGCCAAAAGGCCAGACAGCGGTCTGACAACATCAACCCACTATTGCAGATGAGGTATGTAGATCAGCATGGACATTAATGCGAATTCATCATCAATGGCAGAGCTTTAGGAGTGGCGCTAAAGTCCTGAGTTGGACAAGTGATCGCTTGCAAATTCAGATGGCAACTGGTTTAGCAATTTGCCCTAGCTGAATCTCATTGGTCCATCTATGAATTGCTTAGCTGCGGTGCTATCAGTAAAAGTGTTGAGCTAACTAAGAATCAGCACCTATCCAACTTTTTCTTGTCCCCAAGTCTGATGGGTCGAACGGTTGATTCCTTACCTCAAGACTCTTTGATATATAACACTTAAGTCTAGGCTATTGAACTGGGATCAGACTTCTCCGTAGAGATACCTTAACGAATCTGGATTTAGGGAGAGTGATAGAATATATTTCACATTCATATTGAAGGGACAGCTCTTCCAATACAATGCTGTACCGTTTAGGGTAAATTATACCCGTTATGTGTTCACAAAGTTAATAAAACCATTTCTACATTCGTACATATTTTAATTTTGAGCACTTTCAGGCTCAGTATTAAACTGTAACAGAAAGAAAGTAACTTTACTTGAGCGAACGATGCAGACATTACTGAACCTAGTAAGGGGAACAATGGACAGCAACCAAGACAGAGTCTGAAACTTTGCGATGAACATCAGGATCTTGGTGTCAGCTTGTCTTTCAGTTCATTACAGCAAACTATAACGAGTGCCACAAACATAAGATAACTTAAGGTCTACCTCGGCTAGGGTTCAAATAAACTGGCAGATGCGGTCAGAGGTATAGAGTCATCCAATTTTTAGTTGTATTGTTTCTTGGACTGGGACATTCGTTTGCCAGGGATGAGTCTCTAGCTTTTGGTCACCCGAGAAGATCCCGCATGCTAATCATCAAGAACAACTGGTAGTTTTCTTCTTTGGTGAATGCTTTGCTACCGAATTGATGGGTTGTCTCATTTTATGCCTCATTCTACATCAATAGAGCTTCTGGTTTCCGCGTCTGGACCAGGTTGCGGGAAAACTACGAAAATTTTGTAAAGAGATAAATCTTACTGCCCTCGCGCCAAATATAGAATCTAGTAGTAATACTGGTACAGATGAGCTTTTGTGTCAGTGGGACGTGGAAACGAAGTGGGAGCTGCACCTGTCACTGTCCTGATTTTGGTTCAAGTATTCGGTGTTTCTGAAATTTTACTTCTAAAAGTAACGCAAGAATCCGATAGAGGGACCCAGGACGCCGCTCCCACTAATTTGTAAGCTGACCCTTGTTGTCGTCACTGGAAAGATGTCATTCCAATGAACATCTATAATCCATCATGTATTGTGGGCTTAGATTACGGTAGGACCTTTGTCGGGAAGACATACAGGTCTGTTTTCCTACCTTGAAATTTCTTACCTTACAGGTGATAAGATATCAAGATATAATTGTTTGAGCTATCAGTCTTTTACCCAAAATGTTACTAACGATGCAGACATAAGATGGTTTTTGAAGGGCATTTACAGGCTGAGGATATTTGGATGAGGAAATCAGCGGCACTGCTAGCTCTATCCTCAGGTAAGAGTGTGGAAACTAATTGAAACAGACAACATCCAGATTGGGTTGAATAATACTGCAATTGGAATTTCAGAGTTTTTAAAAGTCTCGGGGTCATTCATGTGGCGACCACCCAAGTTTTACCGTATTTTACGCCCAAGTATCTGTGCAAAGCATTTATTTGTAACTGTACAGTAACTTTATCGTGGTGCCTCGGCTTCCAGATGGATGAAGTCGGTTTTAGCAGAGAGTGTGGCAATTGACAACTCACAGTACATGAAATGCGTCTACTTCTCCGCCGGCTAAGTTACAGTAGGTTCAGGCTCGCGGCAGGCTGGAGTGCGCCTTCACAGATACGTCACAAATCTCTTATGCCAAACAATAGCTTTGCTCAAGCGGCATTTGAGGTGAACCAAGTCTCCACACCTTAAACATAACTGTTATTACGTTATTTGCTCATTACCATGAAATTGATGGTAATTTTTGAACCAGGTACGTCATATTACCTGTTGCTAAGAGCCTTAATTTGAATTGTTACAGGGGACATGTACATTCAGTTGACACATACACTGCGTACCATTTGTGAAGTTGTGTACAACCTATTGTTTACTATTGCAGAGCGTTAGTAGTATGTTGCAACCAGCATCTACAATATGTATTCTAAATATTTACTTCGACGAGGACGGAACATAATTACATGATCAAACGAACTTACCTGTAAGTGATGTTCAATGTTAATTATGTGAAGTCCGCGTCGTAGTAAATAGCTCCTTCTCTCCCTATATATCACCGAATTGTTGCAACAACTTGTCTTTGAAGTAAATGAAGGTTTATAGGCGGCCAGAGGGGAGAAAGGTAGGGGGAAGGGGCACGCTTTCCTTCTCTGCGTGCGCGCTTTGAAATCATAGCGGTTGGGTACTACTACGAGGGTACTACGATATGTATTCTAAATATTTACTTTAACGAGGACTTCACATAATTAAGATCGAACATCACTTACTGGTAAGTTCGTTTGATCATGTAATTTGAGTTGCCTCAATTTTATAGTGTACTTTTATTATCGATTCAAACTGGAAAATATTTTAAATTTTTGGTTCAAATGGATGATTATTCTTATAATAGTTTGATATTTTGTTGAGTTCAATATAAAGGTCTGAAGGTCTGATTATACTAGGATGGATGATACCCATTTTACAAAATTCTCGGTATCCTGTATTAAGTATAGAACCATATAAAATGAATTGCTGTTGAAAGATGTCTTTCGCAAAAAGAATGTCTTGTTGTGTAGCATTTGTTTCGCTGAACTGAAGAATTTCTGATCTCAGTAATGCCTCATTATGCTGTATTGCATCAAGAGTAACTTTAAGATTTTGTATGAGTTCATTGCCTTGCATGTGATTCAGTATCTTAAAAATTTTATCGCCATCATTGGCATCAAAATCACCAGTAATATACTTAACTATGCTACCTAAACCATTTATCAATCCTCTTCTAGTTCTACGAGTATTATTATAGACACTATGAATTTCAATATTATCTATCTGATCTAAAATAGATTTTTGAGTAAATCTTGCTATCTTGTCGTAATTATATAATTGTTTAGTAGAGGAAGTTCGGTGAATATGGAATACCCATTCTTATTATGCACTTATAGATTACTACAATAGAGTAACAATTGATAATAATAAGGATATGGGTGGCCAAATGCATTCATTTTACGAAAAAAAAAATATATTTAGCAAATAACATGTAGTCAAAAAATGACAAAAATATATTTAATGTCATATGTCATTTTTAGGCGCCAAGAAAACTGGCGAGTAATATGGAACATCGTTATCTGGTAATATGCTATATGAGATACGACATAAGTAATAGATACAAAACAAAAATTATAAAGTTGTTTAGTTTTTATTTGGCAACGTTAAACTACTATTTACAAAAGTCGCAGATGTATGTTTCATGCTCGTTGCCTGTACAGGCTTCATGTGCCCAGCATTCGCACATGACACATTGAATCCAAATTTCTCGGCTTTTACTTTTAGAAAATAATTCTTCACAGAAAATACGAATCACATCTGAGTTAGGCTCTTTAGAAGCCAAAGAGGCTACGGGAATATCATCGTCCGAAGAATCTTGATCGTTTGCTCTGGATTTTTTTCCAACTAGCTTGGCCAGCGGAAAATTGTCGTCGGATGAATGTTGTGATTCTAAACTTGACGTTGTTGGTTTTTGTATATTTTCTTGGGCATGAACCTGATGCCACTGGGTCCTGGTGTGTCATCATCAATCTTTCTCACAACCTTTTCTTTCTGCTTTGAAGCAACTGAAATACTTTGCTCTAATTCGTTCATATTTGGTGTTGATGTAAGTATCACCCCCTTGCCACATTTTCTGCTACGTGTTCCTTCATTCTTTTTAAGCTGTGGTAATGGATTAATATTTGAGGGAAGGACAGTGATATTTAGATCCTCGACTGATTTCATTCTTGCTTCGCTTTAAAGCTGACTTTCTGCTAAAACGTCTTGTTCTGAAAATATATTTCGCCAGCTGGATAAATTCCAGCAGCACTGAAAACTTTCACTGCTCTCTCTCCTGTCTGGATTTTTAAATAGGCATTCCCGAATAATTCACATACGTCGAAATGAGTTACCGCTTTGTTAGTCGTTCTCATAAAAACTCTTCACTGTAATAAGTTTTCAGAGCTCCCATTACTGTCTTATCGAGCGGCTGCATTTTGTGTGTCGTATGAGGAGGCAAACAAATAATCGACATAAAATATTCCTTAGCTTTTAGAATGACATCCAAATTTCTGGTATGAGTATGATGCCCATCTAATTACAGCAGTATAGGACTTTCTTGAGTGGGTTTCGTGTGCTCTAAGAAATGGGCGAACCATTGGGTGAACAAGCCCGTTTGGATCCACCCAGATGAATGAAAGGCAAAGAGGGACCCTGGTGGTGCACCTTTTTTAAGTTGCTCGCTAGATTTCTTTCTAGGAAAAATGATCATAGGGGGGACGAAAGTCCCATCTGCGCTCATGCAGAGAACAACTGTAATAAGAGATCCCCTTTCTGCTGAGGTAATTGCTATTCTCGCATTGCGATAACCTCCGGAGATCTACTTTGAACTATGCATAAGCCTGTCATCGACGTTATAGATACGATTAGGCGTGAAATTATTTTCTTCCATGAGGCTTTCTAACAAGTCAAAGAATTGAGTGACATTTTCCCTATTAAAGCTGACTGCTCTTGCCCCTGAAGTTCCTGTTGGCTTTCTTACGCTGAGGGTCGTTCTAGGAAGGCATAAAGCCAATTCTTGCCCGCGAGTTCGTTCAGAAGGGAAAACGTATGCTTTAAATTATTACGTGTGGCCAGCTGATAAGCCATTCTACGTACGTCCCGGCGTGTAAGGCCGAAATATTTCCGCTCCATTTCTGAAAGATGAGTTACCAATTCTTTTTCTAGGGCTGGTGGTAAAACTGGCTTTCTTCTAAGTAATGCTTTGTTCATAAAATCGCTACCTTCTTTACAACAGCGAAATAGTGTGCTCCGAGGAACGCCAAAATTCTTGGAAGCCGCTAAATAACCCATCTTTTTTGTTATTACAGCATCTATTGCATTGCGCATATTATCGACATTCCAAGTTTGTCTTTTAGCTTTAAGAAGCTTTATAGGTGCCATTATTTATAATAGCTAGTGCATGCACTCACTGTTGTCTATAGTGTACGTACCTGATCGCCAAAATAAATTTCCTCGTAAAGCTTCAAAACTATGGGAACAAATTTGCAGCGTTACCGAAACTCGGCATGCTCGCCGAACAAACTTTTGCATGTGACCGCTCGTCGACGGTAGATCTGATTGACGAAAATGCGCGGGTGTAACAACAGGTGGCGGCACGTGTTCAATAGGCGAATCGTAATCGAGGTAGTGCTAGTAGAATATTGAAATAAACGCTATCCCATATTACCCGGACTGCTCCATATTCACCGAACTTCCTCTATAAGTAATATTTCGAATGTAACTTAATCTTAAATGCTTATATCGAATATTGAGGTTATTAAATTTATCACAGAATGATGCTAATTTATAGTAATGTATGAGGGTATGTTCCATTTGATTCTGGATGCTGAGAGCGGATAAAATGAACTTCAATTTTACCGGTAGCAAGTAGTTCCTTTATCACAGTGTTTTTGAATTCACCTTCATTAGCAGAAATAATTTGTTCCGGGATACAGTGATGCGAAAAATATTAGATCAAGTTATTTGCCACTTCTATTGCCTGAGATGATTCTAATTTATATGCTTGTGCATATTTTGAAAACGAGTCTATTATAGTTAGAAATTTACAGTTTTCTAGCGATATACTATCAATGTGAACAATTTGAGAACGTCGATTTGCGCTGTGTGTAATATTAAGTACTAATTTCAATGGATGTCTGTCGTATTTGGTGACAAGGCATATTTCGCATTGGTTGATGTAATTTATAACAGCAGTTTGTAGATTTGGCCAATAATAGTTAGCTCGAATACGTTTTTCAGTTTCACCTATCCGTCTATGGTTTGTTTTATCCTCATGATGATTACGAATAATCATTTCTTCTTCATTTTTGTCAACTACGTCTACGAGTTTTTTAGTACAATTGACCATATTAATTTCAGAGTGCCTAAAATATTTTTGCAACACTCTACACCACCGTTCATAAATTTCATTTTCAAAGTACAGATGGTACTTGGGGACTACAAATTCTTTAATAAACTTTTGGATGTCTTGTTCAAAATTTTGTTCAGAAAGAAGTAATATTCTTTGTTTCTCCTTGAATAACTTGATTACTGAAGGCTTAGCAGGTGAGAAATTTACTTCTGAGATGAAAACTTGATTTCTGCCATAATTTTGCAGGTGTTTCAGTTATTGGAACATTAAGTGTGGGATTTTCATGACTGGAACGAACAGTTTCGTTAGAATCGTTTAAGCTTTCGACATCTGGACTTTCTAAGACGTTCGAAAACATCGCGTAACCTTTTGATACGTTCCTGAAGGCTGGTACTGAAAATGATTATATCATCATAGACTAGATATTTCTCATTTTGTATGCTACAAAGAATGTTGTCCATTACTCTTTGGAAACAAGATCTTTTATACCAAAAGGCATTCTCAAACACTCATAATTACCATTTTCAGTGCTGAATGCTGTTTTTTCTATATCTTCGGCCATTTCAATTTAGTGAAATCCCGAAGCAAAATCTAGGCCCAAACAAACATTTCCAAGAAAGGGCCGATTTCACCAACATTAATATTATGGACCAATGGGAAAATACCTTATCGAAATGCCATTTAACGAAAGCTGTCAAAGGTCTCTGAATATTAGTGATTTCTATTGAAATATTGAATAAAATCGTGAAAATTCGACTGTATTATAAACAAGACTACTTTCTGATTCCAACATGATGCTTTTGTACAGAAAAAACAGGACAACTTTTATGTATTTTGATATATCTTATAGGTTTACATTTAACAATCCGTTATCCCCCTCAGCGAATGGGAATGCGGCAAATAATAGGTCGATTTTCTAGCTGTTAAATTTGGCAGCAGATTTGGACGTTTGTTAATGCATGGCACTCTCGAATTTACCAACTTCAATATACTGAAAGTTATCATTACATACCTGTTGAATAGTGTGGATTTGTCGGTATTTTGCAAGAAAATAGAATATAAAATTCATTCCATCCAATTCCTCATCTTCCTTTACGTCCTAATAGTAATCATTTATTAATATATAGGATAATGAATTTCATCAAAGCAATAAAAACATTATGTCCTCTCCATCCTAAAACACAGATAATATATGTAAGACGTGTCAATCCCTACATCTCCCTGATGCATAATGCAATTACTATGGACATAGACAAAAAATTATGAAAAATGTTTCACAGATAATGGCTTTTAGGTCCAAAAATCAAAAAAACTAGTAATGTTTATTGTTTGACTATTTTTCTTTTATGACTGGCGGGGATATATATCTGACAGTCGCAGGGTTGCCAAGTCTAACGACGATCACGTCCCGTGGTGGAGGGTGTGAAATGAATCTTTTACATTTGATGGTTTTGAATTTTTTTCGTGAAAATTTACTAGGTATCATGATTATAAGCATCTTTGGTAGATTGTTCGATCCGGAATGGGAAAGATCTCCTATTTATGAAAATATTTTTGGTATCATCTAACCGTTGCAATCAGTGTACAAACACTGTGACATACGATTTATAGCATAACCCGCTGCCCTATCAATACAAATTTAACATACAGGTCGCCTAGCCGTGGGGACGCAGTGGTCGGGATGAATATCACGGTAGCAACTGATGATTTGGGCATGTCTGGTGACGACGTATGAAGTGAAACCCGCTAACTTCACAAATTTGAAGATTTTGTACAATTTCTTTGAAAATGATAATAATAATAATAATAATTTATTGGTACTATTACACAAAAATGTGTTTGCACAGGTCATTTAAAGTAGAACATAAAAGAGTAAGTAAAAGTAACAAACAATACGAAAATAAGACAAACGTAAAACACAAAGTGGCAATAAAAGGTAAAAAAAAACTTGATAAAACTATTTTAAAATTTAGAGGAACAATAAAATAAGATGGTTAAAAAATTATGAAATACTAATCATTTTTTCATGTTTGTACTCAAATGTCCTTACACACGTCTGGAGAACGATAAAATATAATACAAAAATAACACATAAAAAAAACAAACGAAAACAAAGTAATAAATAGTCAACAATTATGGAACAAAGTCGGTAAAATCATTATTTAAA